CTCTTTGATAAAGCTTATAGTTAGGGCTGGCTCAGGTGAGTCTTGAACCATCCCTTAGTTATGCTGCTATAGGCCTAGACTGCCGGGGGATTTCCCATGATGCACTGAGCTCCTCTCTCCTCTACTTTCTCTCCCTCTGTATGCAACCTCATCCCATTATTGCATGTTACTAACGGAACTTCTCCCCTTTCTGGTAGTCTTGTGCTTTCTCGTCCCTCTCCTCTCTCCTCCTATCACTTCCTGCAGGTGTTTCTGGCTCTGGAGCTGTGGAGTCTGGATCTGTGGTTGCGGGTCACCTGCTGTCCCCGTGTTCCTGCTCGACACCCTCTGCTGCAACGACTATTGTTACTAGTCCTATTGTTATTATTGTTATTATAATAATTAACATTACGACTGTTATCATTAACACTACTATAAATATCTGTACCATTTTTCATTTAGTCTATAGCAACATTACCTTCACTGTCTGTACCTCTGTGTTGTGTAGGCTGCCTCCCTCTCTCTCTCTCTCTCTCTCTCTCTCTCTCTCTCTCTCTTGCCCTCCCTCTTTCTCTCTGTCTCTCTCTCTCCCTCTCTCCCCTTCACCCCCAACCGGTCGAGGCAGATGGCCGCCCACCCTGAGCCATGGTTCTGCTCGAGGTTTCTGCCTCTTAAAGGAAGTTTTTCCTTGCCTCTGTCGCCTAGTGCTGCTCTTGGTGGGAACTGTTGGGCTTCTGTAAATAACATCATAGAGTACGGTCTAGACCTGCTCTTTTATGAAAAGCAATGTGAGATAACTGTTGTTGTGATTTGGTGCTATATAAATAAAATTGAATTGAATAATGTAATGTTAAATTCATACATTAAACATGAATGAGTCCCACAAACATACAGTGCATCCAGAAAGTATTCACAGCGCTTCACTTTTTCCACATTTTGTTATGTTTCAGCCTTATTCCAAAATGGACGAAATTCATTATTTTCCTCAAATGTCTACAAACAATATCCCATAATGATGAATCATGACAGAAGTTTGTTTGAAAGCTTTGCAAATTTATTAAAAATTAAAAAAAAGGTAAAAAGCACATACAGTAAGTATTCACAGCCTTTGCCATGACACTCAAAACGAGCTCAGGTGCATCCTGTTTCCATTGATCATTCTTGAGATTTTTCTACAACTTGATTGGAGTCCACCTGTGGTAAATTCAGTTGATTGGACATGATTTGGAAAGGCACAAACTGTTACGGTGATTAGGGTAGTCACTAATGAACCATTCTTACCACATTTAAACATGTTTTCAAAAGTGATGATACACTTGGGTCACAAGAGGCGATGATGCACAAGAACACAAGACACAAGATTTTTAACACTATTTTGAAGAAATATGAAATGCTGAAATATATATGAGTAGGGGGTCTGGGGGTCCTCCCCCACTGCTTCCTGCATTCTGGAGACATTTTATGCTCCATTTTACAGTGGAAATGTCTTTTTACATAAAGGGAAACAAAACAAAATATTCAGCTGGCAGGTGACAATTCATTAATATAAAATTATAACAGAATATTATAATGTAATTAGCATTTTTAACAAATGGTTCAGCCATTTCAAAATGTGGTGGGACATGTCCCCAGTGTAAATGAGTAATAAAAATCTGTGATTTGTGCTTAAGTCTGCACAGTTTGAAATCTCACCACATTTCAACCCTCTTTTCCTCCTCTCAACACACTGTATCCTACATTTACTTTACTGTGGTGAAATGAGGTTTACTATGAGTATCATGCTTAAAATAACATTATTTTCTTCATGTTTATTGAAGCATTCATCATCCCCAAGGTTTAAGACAATGCTGAAAAATACCAAGAATTTCATAATCCATAATGATATCTAGCCTACTTAATTAGAAAATGCTCTCAGACTTTCGCCAAGGATGATGTTCACTGAGGAGTGATGGTTAAAATCTGTGATGGTAAATGTAACTGCGAGATGCAGTTCTGATTGGAAGGAAATATTAAATAAATTTTTTTGTTATACATTCTGCTATTACGCATTTGCAACATTATTGTGAAAGTGACACCTGTAGTAACTGGTGGTAACAGTAAATGTAGGTTAATAGGCCTACTACAGGTCACAGAAGTCTGGGGCAGCTAATGAAACTATTATCAGGCAATTTTTGTTTTTTTTCCATAATTATGTGAGCAGTCATGATCTGACTTTAAGACTTCTGCAGGAGTATGAAATGCTCAGTTTGCATTGGCACTAACTCGAGCATTATACTGGGAATTTCGCCACAGAAGCATTTTCTAAAACTACAAATATATTAGTATTGCATTACTTTCATCAGTGGCCATTTTGCAGGCCTGATGGGACGCTTTGGCAGGCCTGATGTGGCCCGTGGGCTGCCAGTTGATGATACTCAGTAAAAGGCACACGACAGTCCGCCTGGAGTTTGCCAAAAGACACCTGAAGGACTCTCAGACCATGAGAAACAAAATTCTCTGATGAAAAAAAACGATTTAACTCCTGAATGGCGAGCGTCATGTCTGCAGGAAACCAGGCACTGCTCATCACCTGGCCAATACCATCCCTACAGTGAAGCATGGGGGTGGCAGCATCATGCTGTGGGGATGTTTTTCAGCGGCGAGACTGGGAGACTAGACAGGATCGAGGGAAAGATGAATGCAGCAATATGCGGAGACATCCTTATTTTAAATATAGGTTTATTAAATTCTTATTATTATTAATTAAATCAGTTCAAAAGAATACTCTTTCTGGCACAGAAAGCAAGTGATGGACATCATCTTATTAATTTCCTGCCCTATGACCTGCCAGAACTGCTTTACTTTTCTACAGTACCATAAACAATGTGTAAGACTACCAGTTTCTATATTACACTTGGGGCACAAGATGCATTAGGTTTTTATTTAGGACATTGAGTGGGATATACAGGGTATGAGCCCTGTGTGGGAGCTTCAGTTGCATGGCTCTCACGCGGTTACAGACATTCAGAGTTTTTGCGCTTTTTCAAGCATTCCAGCCATTATCTGTTATTTTACCATTAACAGATAATGTCATATAAGCCCTTCAGAAAGGTGTTTGTGATGTTTACCCCTTAAGGATATTATAATAAACTAATAGAACTGCCTATTTTGACACAGAAGGATAGTGGTATCCCTTGTGACAAAATGTTACTTGCAAATATTGAAAGTAATCCTGTTTTTGAATATCATATTTCCATTTCAACTGACTAATGGACATCATGGTAGAGCCTTCCAGTAGTTTGTGTAAAGCAGGTATTCCTTTATTTACCCAAATCCAGAAGTTATCATCCATTAGTCCAGGGGGAAAATCAGGATTGTCACATATTGGAGTGAAGCAGAGATGCTCACAAGTCTCTGAGCTAGAGTTCAAGTCTCAAGTCTCTGAGCTAGAGTTCAAGTCTCAAGTCTCTGAGCTAGAGTTCAAGTCAAATCTCTGAGCTAGAGTTCAAGTCAAATCTCTGAGCTAGAGTTCAAGTCAAATCTCAGAGCTAGAGTTCAAGTCAAGTCTCAAGTCTCTCGTGGTTATAATCACCTACAGCGTAGAACACTGCATATATATTCGGAATTCTGTAACTGTAACCCGTTTTTCACTTACAGAGCCATGTAGCCTAGTGTGCAATGCATCTACAACTAAACACAGCTTATTAACTGTAAGTGAACACATCCCCCAGACTTTCAAACCAGTGTAACTAAATAAAACTGTAACGTCACATGATCAACAATAAACCTGTAACCTGTTTGCAGCCAACGTTAATAGATAACATGATGGCAGCCAGCGGGACATAAATGATTACATTGACTACAACAAGTTTGGAAAGCAAACAAACGCTCATTCATCTTCATAGCGAACAACAGTCGGTGTTAACATCTCGTTGGTCGTAGCTAATGCAAGAAAAAAGCTAACGTTAGATGGCCAATGCTGAACTAAACATGTTTACTAGACTATCAGCTTTCTAACCTATTTTGCATGTGGTACATCTTTTGGTTTTGTCTTGTTGTATGAAGTTGTAAAGCCGAGTTTATGATGAATGGCACAGCAGCTGCCGGTGTTACACCTGTGTTTGTTGTCTTCTCTCACGTGTGGCCGTGTGCAGCAGATACTACGTAGGTAGGTTACAGGTAACCCAGGGAGGGGAATAAGCAAGCTCATCAGACGTTTACTAAAAATAAACATTACTCACAAGTCCCGTACTTCGAGTTTGAGTCAAGTCCAGGGCTGGGACAAAAAAATCGGCCCTGGCATTTTGGTCAGACACCCCTCACCAATACACCATCGTTGTCACGATCCTGTCCTGAGTGCTGTGTTTTTGTCTTCTCTGTTTAGCTCTGTGTATTCCCTTGTTCATTTACTGGTTCTGTTCAGCTCTATTTGTACCAGTCTGTCATGTGTTATAGATTGTTTCCTTCATCTCAGCCCTGTGTCTTAGCTCCTAGTTTTGTGTCTTGTTGATGTTACCAGTTTCCTGTACCCGTGAGTTCTGTTTGTCGTGCTTGGGATTAATAAACGCTGGAACTCAATCTCAGCTCACAGTGTCATGCGTTTGGGCTCACTCCTGCTGCACTCACTCAGCAAACCCTGACAATCGTTCCATTTAAGGGGTCAGATTAGGGGTGTGAAGAAACACTGAGTTGGTTTTGACATGTGGTCATGTCAGAGAGGTGATTGTGATATATTAAATCATCTCAACAGCGATACAATGTTCATGCAAAGTCTGAACTGACATCATAATCAGTCAAGATATCTCTGGTCTTCCTGTATATACTCATTTTTAATGATGATGATGATGTTTACAATAAGTTATCAATTTGTGATGCATAGATTTTCTGAAGAGAAGTTTTGAAGCTTAAAATTGGCGGAGCTGGCCGGCGCCATCTTGGCAGAGCGTCACCGCACGTCACTCCAGATAACCAAAAATGGGCAAAGAGGTGGGTCGTGGGTGGTGTAGCTGAGGTGACGGGTTGCTGAAACCACACCCGCCTAGTTCGACGTGACCGAGTTAGCTCAGGCTGAGGAGCTAATGCTATATGTTACTGTGCGTTAGCAGAGGTAGCTTTTACCCAGTGCTTGTCTAGTTGGAGGTTGGTAGCCTGGGGCATTACCAGCTTATCCTGGAGGTAAGTTAACCTGAAGCTATACAACAATATGTAAAGTAACTATTTCTCTAACAAGGTTTAAAATGCTTCAATGTTTTTTAATTTATATGTAAATATATAGATTATGTGGAGACTAACGTTACCATGAATCAGCATTTATTGTTATGGCTACTCTTGATATTTGACAGCTGATATTACATTGTCTGTCTTCAAAGGGCAACACAAAAACATATTGTTGACTCTATATATCGAGGTGTAGCTCCCTTGTTCCATTTTCTCTCAAATATATGACATAATACTAGTGTCAACCAAACTGAGGCATCTTTTATAGTTAACTTCATATTTTACCTTATCTACCTGCAAAATGTATTACTCATTATTTTCCTTCCACAGTCATAGTGTGGATCAGATGTCCCACCTGGTGCCAGACAGCTGCAGAGACCTGGAACACATCCTCAGAGTTCTGGACGTCTGTATCTGATGGCGTGGACTGACGTGGAAAGGCCTTCTCCCCTTCTGTACACTTTTAGTTTTAATTGTTGTTCTTGTGTGTTTTGCAATACATTCTCTATATATTTGCACTAATTTTGTCTTTATTACTTACTACAATTCCAAGGACAAGTTAATCTTACAACAAAGTATCAAACATTAAAGCTGAGCTCTTGTTAAGGGAGATAAGTCTAGTATCACTTTCTACCTTATACTTTAAGATAAATAAGGGGTCTACACTCAGTACCACAGCCTGAATAGTATTTGAAGAGGGCATTGTTTGCCGCTCTGTTATATGTCTTGTTTTAAGAATGTGCACACCTCCAAACCAACCACAGGTTGGAACAAAGAATGACCTGCACAGAGTAATAATGAATGTCACTTCCATCTCTTAAAGAGGTGGTATTCTGCTCATTTTCAGGTTCAAAATCCTATTAAGGGGATGTACCAGAACAGGTTTACATGGTTTAATTTTCAGAAAACACCATTTTGTTGATATACTGCACATTGCTGCAGCTTCTCTTTTCACCCTGTGTTGAAGGCTCGTTTTAGCTATGGAGTGCTACATCTTGTGTCTAAATGATTTGTTGGGATTTGCAGTTCCTAGTTAAGGACTACTAGCCAATCAGAAGCAGAGAAGGGCGGACCAATGAGAAGCCGGTAAACACAGCTTCGTTTCAGCTGTACATGTTGCCGACCAGCTTGGCAACATAGGCTGGCGCAAGAGTTTTGAGAGTGGTGAGTTATTATTCTGTAACAAAAGTATTTTTCATCCATAAAGTTTTAACTGAGCTCTGTCTCTACATCACAGTAACAACTTTATGTCCGTTGACTGCCTGGAGGGTAGCTAGTGTTTGGAAGGGAGAGGAGGTGTGTGCTGAAGCTCAGTGTTTTTCCACCGGTGTTTTTGAGGGCGTGTCGGAGTAGCTGCTTGGCGAGCGTTATGAGGCGCATTTAGCTTTCATCCCTGTGACGTCACAGGGATGCTGTGGTCTAATACAAATGGTGATATGTCCTGTGTTGTTTAACACAACTAGATGTGAATACCAGGAAATACAATCAGAAATTCTGAACTCTTGTTTCATACTCATCTTTTGATCTTAAACCCAAATGTCTTCAGTGAACAACAAAAACAAAGGAATTTGCCTTACCGTTCCAATACTTTTGGAGGGGACTGTATGTATAGGAACCTAGAGTCATAATTTGAAATCAGTAGAGTTCAGGTGTTTAAGTAAAACAAAAACAAAAGGCTGAACAAACCAGTAAGCTGCAAGATCTGGCAGGGCCACTGTAGAGCTGGACTCTGGTGCTTCATATCTGGGAAGATGCTGCCTTCAACTCATCTGGCAGTATGGCAATGTGCAATATACTGTTTATTGATATGTGCAATTTTAATCTTGCTGCTGGGCACCACTTGAACAGTCAAGTTAGCTCTTATTGTATATTTATTATTCTGTTCTTATGTTAAATTTATGTTGAACTGGTATTAGTTGACATATATTTATAGAGAATTGTAATGCACCTTTGGGTTGTCACAAAAGTAATCTGCTACACAATAACAATAGGGCTGGAATCTTGAATATAAACAGGGCCTCACAGGTTCTAATTACATGCAGCTAGAGAGCCTACACTAGTGTTTGGTCATTGACCGCCCCCTGTTGGTGCTTTAGAGGCATTTCATGTCCATGAAAGCAAATAGAGAAAGTTAAAATCAGCACTGAACCATTGTGTCTCAGTAGTGCAGTGGTTAAGTGCTTTTCCTGCCACTGCCAAGATTGATGGGTCGAGCCTAGGGCAGGGTATGTTGACTGTAATATTAAACTGAAGAAAAGTTTGTTTTTGTTCTTGAAAACTTACAAAACTTTCACACACGCCAGGAGGGTAAAATACCAACAAGAAGTCGGCCATTTTGGAGTGAATTGTCATATTTGGGCGATTTACACACTCCGCGCTTAAAACAAACTCCTCCTAGAGAATTAGTCCGTGCGACTTCAAATTTTTGCTGTGCAGTCTTATCCCATCAATGATTACATGCTGTTCAAATGGTTTTGATCGACCAGGGCTGTGGAGTGGAAAATCAATGATTCGCCACAAAACAGGAAGTTGTTACAACTAAAGTGTACATGCTCACATCTGTACCAAACTTTATGTGATTGATAATGGCCCAGCCTCCAACATATCTACATGCCAAAATTCAGTTATAGTTATAGCGCCACCTACTGGCAACAGGAAGTAAGCCTTGAGTGACACTCATTATGCGATTAAAATAAACATGATGTACTGGGACATAACGTATCATTACTGGGTGCTCCTTTGCATCACATAGAGGACACAGGAAGTGACTTTTAAGCATTTTTTACAGCTTGCAAAGTGCGTGACAATTTAGAGCAACACTATCTGATGCGCTTCACCTGCAAGGGTGACAGGTAGTCCAACGCTGATTGCTGCTTCAGTATTTAACTGAATTAGTCTGTTGCATTTGATTCTTTTACCTGTAGGTAGCGCTAAAGGATTTTAATTTGCTGATGGAACAGTACTTTGCAGCAGCATTGGTAGCAGTCACAGCTAATAGCTGACAGCTCTCACACGCATTTTCTTAAGGAAATGACCATTCTAGTTATTCATATTATTCTGATCTATTAGATCTTATTTTGATAACATCTGTGTTTAGTCTTCAGTAACCTGTATCCTGTCTGTTACTCCAGAAGCCTTCAGCGTGCCTGTCTCTCTGTTTTCCCCTGCTGTCTCTCTGCCTGCCTGTCTCATTAGTCCTGATCCCTCTCACCTGTGTTGCTCCCGCCTGCTCATTAGTCCCTGGTGTATAAATGTTTGGTGTTTCTGTTCAGTCCCTGTCTGGTCCTTGTAGCTGGTAATGCTCTGTCTGATATCATGTGGATGTATTCAGCCTGTTTGTTTGCCCTGCTTGTTTCTGTGGATTTTGGATTACCGTGTTTTAGTTGGACTGTTTATTTTGGAAAGCCACAGCTCAGCCAGTATGCCTGTAAGTGTGCTCACCTTTAGGTTGTTCAAATAAACCTTTTGAACTGTAACAATGGTTGCGTTTTCAAAGAAAACAACTTACAGTCAGCAGTGCATAACGAAACTCAGGGAGACGGAGGACTACAGAAGCTTAGGAGGTACAGAAGGGATGGTGTGCAGCTAAGGTCATCTCCACAGGAAACATTAATAAAAATCAACTCAGTGTGATAAAATTTACAATTCTTCAATAAAATCATTAAATTCACAAATACAAATTGAAAACAAGAATTATTAGAGTGCATTTTTAACTCTGTTATGATTACATTACTTTTGATTAAAAACATTAAGTCGCTAACACAGCCAAACATCAAGCAAGTGCAACAAAACACCGCAATAAGTATAATATACATATATAGATAGATAGATAGATCATATAGACCATCTCCACAGTCTGTCAGTTTATTAGCCAATAGTGATGCAAGTCAGGGGCAGCTATCATTAGCACGGATCTGCCGCTGTTTGCTTCAAAACATTCAATTTAGACATTGTTGTTTTACCAATAATATAGATACACAGCTACTTCAACCGTCTCACTCGCTGAAAACTTCCATGACCCACATAGTATACAATAATGCAACATAATGCCGCAGGATAACACCCCAGTCGAAGACCCATTCTCTACAGTAACGTTACTTACTGAGGTCTAACTGTTATAAAATAACAATCTCATTTTAATATTAAGTCTAACTCACTAATTGCTCACATTGCTGAGCCTCCGTCTCCCTGAGTTCTTTTCAAGGTCCCTCCCACACCGTCAGGGGCCCACTTGCCATGGCTTGCCTCAAAAAAGTTCCATGTGCTTTCACACCTCGTCTTGCAAGCTCTGTGCTGAAAAGTAAGAAATTCCCTTTTCTGTTTGTATTGGTTACATGGTCCATCACTCAGAAAGTGTTGAACAGATACATTTGGATATGTGGCTTGTATGTAATCCAGCACTGGATTCATGTGTTCCCATATTGCTGGGGGGCTTTTGTGTTTGGAGGGTGATACTGTGCTAAAGCAAATAGCTCTTTTTTGCCACCTATGTACAAAACACCAGTGTGCAGAGTAGCTGGTGGGAGTAGCCAACGTGCACAGCTTGAATCTCTGAGCTGTATTTGCATGTGTAGTTTTCAGAGAAGTCTATGTGGATCACTGCCTCTTCTTTTGACAGGTTCTTTTTCAACTCTCTGCAGTAAGAGTACTGTTGATTTATGTTGAATGTGTGGAATAATTCCACAAGATTATCTTGTGTGTCTTGACAGTGGTAGGGCCCTCCCTCACATCTTCCCTTTCTATCTCTGCTGTGACCCACTGAGTAAATGCAACCTTTGCTAAGCTGTCAAATCTGGAGAGCTGAACAGTCTTGTCTTTGCATTCTGCACACTCATCATACATGCAAATTTTGCTAGAGGTGTCACAGGTCAAACTCTTCAGATCTAAAGTTTCAATGACAAATCTGAGATTCTCGTGGATCTTGCACAGACATGTGTCCTGCGTTCAGATAGAGTGAGATGTACTACCCAAAATGGGCGAAGCTTACAAAAAAGGGAGTATGAGATGCTATTTGTATTGTATTTCAGTGAGAAATCTTTTGTGGAGTTTTTTCATTGTGTCAACCAGGAACCTTTTCTGCTTCTTCACCTTGTTCCTGGTAATTGTTTGTTTTCGTCCCGTTGTTATCTGACTGACGTCATCTCGGGTGAAGAAGGTTTTGACCTTGGACTTGAAAGCAACAGCAAACCTGTTTGTGGGATGTCTATTGGTGGTATAGAGGTTTTCACTGAACACTGCGACGCTTCTTTGAGAATCCCAGGGCTTTCTCAGCAAATGCTTGGAGCCTGTACTTCACAATCTTCCCCACTGTTACCTTTGCTATTAGTTGTTTTTCTTTTTCTTGTCTTGCTTTACAGTACTTATTCTTTATGTCTTCAATCAATGATTCATGATAGAGTAGTGTATTTCTTATTTTGGAGCTTGTGTTCGTTAATTCATTTATTTTTGAACGAGGAGATTAATTCTTATTTAAGCACTTATATCTTTTTCTGTATTTGGCAGCACGTTTTCTTTCCTT